TGCTGTTTCTTAAAACAGATTCATGGCTAGTTTGGATCTGTTGGGCTGATTGCTGTATGAACCTTCACCCTCTTCTCAGCCTTTTAAAATTTTAGTCTCATGTATTTACAGTTTAGATATTTTAACCTGGGGAAATATGTATGAGCCACACCTACAGTTTTGTTAATTACTTTATAATCAGTACCTTAAAACCCTTGAAAACAGATTCCTAAAACAAGGCATATCACTTATATTCAGTGGCAATAATAATTTTCTAATATTTTCTTCTAAAGATGAATGGCAAATATTGGCTCCAGTATATTGCACATAAAAGTAATTAGGCAATTATCTTTTTTGAAATTTTGATTTCTAATTTAAAAAATAGAAAAGTTTGATTAAAAAGCTTATTATAAGTAGAATTTACATTTTAGTCTAGGTGTAAATTACAAGCCAGTAGCCAAGTTTTGGTTTTGATGGTGATTTTTTAAAGCTTTTTCATTTTTATGTTAAATTATTTTACCTTAACAGAAATGTCCTGTTTGAGTATGTGCATGCTGTCACCCCAATACCTCATAATCATTCATATCCTGGGAGAGATAGTGGCAGAATTAGTGTGACTCAGACTTGATTTTCCAGGAAAGTGGTCTAACCTCTCTTCCGAATTAACCTGCTAAGTTTTAAAAATGTGGACTCTCAGGCCTCAACATAGAACTACTGCCTCGGAATTTCCAGGGGTTCCTTTCACAGTCTGTACTCTTTCTTTTAAACTTAGTAATGAATCCTACACACAACTAGATTGGGGAATGAGTCTAATGCTCTAGTTCCCAGTCTCACCAAAAAGAGCACCTCCCGTCAGTGTAATTTACTGCATGTTGAGAGCTTCATCATGGGCCAGAGGATCGTTCCATTTAACAAATGTTCACTAAGTGTGTATTGCGTCCAAGGCATTGCGTCACGCATTGTGTCCAAGGAATTTACAAAGATGTATAGCATGTAGATAATACCATTAATGCCCTCAAAATGCTTTTGGCTAGCTGGGTGTATGAGTCTACATTGTGATGACTTGAGTTTTTCAAGGATCATCATGCAATTCTTAATTATAGTATTGATACACTATAATTTGTAGTGATGCTTTAAAAATTCTTATTTGCATGTGGTTTTAGGAGCTGTACTGGGTCTTTGTGTTTCGAGTTGGCTGCTTCTGTCTGGGCTTTACCATCTTTCACATGTTAAATTTGTGTAGCACATGTTCATAACAACACTGTCATAATCATGCTACTGGGCAAGCGAATTCCATGAGGAATTAGCATATTTAGTAGGTTTAGGTTATTTTGTTTTGTAGTGAATGGAAGAACACTGTTTAAACATCTTTATTCCATACCTGGAGAAGTTGTTTTGTGGAGATGTGTTGGCTTTGTGTATCGGTAATGAATGATTGTTTTCAGGTTTCAGTGTTTATGATCTTGGAAGTTCCTGTTCAGCTTTGTGCTTTTGCGTCACTAGGTGGAGATGTAGCATTGTTTGACGGCGTAGGCAAAGCAAGAGGAGTGAGTCTTGATTTCTCTTCTTTGGACAAAAGTACTTCACAGACATTTGATGAGGTTTGTTATAGCCTAGGAAAACACTCATAAATTTAATATAATTTAAAATTTTTAACTTTGTTTTTTTTTTTCAGGGTTGAAATTTGGTCCTACTTAAGTGTTTATTTTCATACTGATCGAAAGTGTCTATTTTCATACTGATCAACTCTTTTAAACATTTTTTTTCTCCTCTTACTGCTGTTTCCTTGCTGTCCTTCATTATTTCACCTTGCCTGAGTTATTGTAATATCTCTATCTTTGGTTCTTGATAGGGATTTCATTCTAAAAGTTTAGTAAAGGAATCAGAATTCTTACTCTGAGGTCAAATAATAGATAAAATTTTAATTTGGTAGAAAAATGAAGTCAGTGAACCAAAAAATATAGTTTGAACATACCCTAATCTTATCTTTGTATTATTTTAGGTTAATGATGTCCATTTTTAACATTAATATTCTGTAGGGCTTACTTTTCCCCCTTTCCTTACTTCTTTCTCTCACCTCTTGAATATTAAACAAGCACAGTATCTATTTTATGCACAGCATTGATATGGAAAATATAAAGGAAATAAGAGCCTGTCTCCAAAGAGCTGATAATCCTGTTGAGAACATTGCAAATGTGCCCATGAAGCAGCAGTTCTCCACTCCTAGGTATATACCCAAGAGAAGTGAAGGCATATGTTCACACAAACATTTGGACATGAAGGTTCATAGCAGCACTATTCATAATAGCCAAAAAGTGGAAACAACCCAGCTGTCTACCCGCTGATGAATGAATAAAGAAAATATGGTATACTTGTACAATGGAATATGGTATAGCAATAAAAAGAAATCAGGTCCTGATACATGCTGTGATGTAGATGATGCTTGAAAATGTGCTGATGAAAGAAGCCAGTCACAGAAGACCGCATAATATCCGTTTATATAAAATGTCCAGAATGGCAAATCTGTAAAGTAGATCTATGATTGCCTAGGGCTAGGTGGAGAGGAGTAACTGCTAATGGGTTTGGATCTCCTTTCTGTAGTGATGAAAATGTAAACTTGATTATAGTGATTGATGTACAGCTCTGACTGTATACTAAAAACCACTGAGGGCTGGGCGTGGTGGCTCACACCTGTAATCCCAGCACTTTGGGAGGCTGAGGTGGGAGGATCCTGAGGTCAGGAGATCAAGACCATACTGGCCATGGTGAAACCCCATCTCTACTAAAAATAAAAAAATAGCTGGGCATGGTGTCCCACGCCTGTACTCCCAGCTACTCAGGAGGCGGAGGCAGGGGAATCGGTTGAATTTGGGAGACGAAAGTTGCAGTGAGCGAAGATCATGCCACTGCATTCCAGCCTGGTGAAAGAGCAAGACTCCATTTCAAAAAAAACCAAAAAACAAAAACACTGAGTTGTAGGTAATTGTGGTTTTTTTTTTTTTTTTTTTTTTGGAGATGGAATCTTTGTTGGCCAGGCTGGAGTGCAGTGGTGCAATCTTAGCTCACTGTAACATCCACCTCCTGGGTCCAAGTGATTCTCCTGTCTCAACCTCCCGAGTATAGCTGGGACTACAGGTGCCTGCCACCATGCCCGGCTAATTTTTGTAGTTTTAGTAGAGATGGGGTTTCACCATGTTGGCCAAGCTGGTCTCGAACTCCTGACCTCAAGTGATCCTTCGGTCTCCCAAAGTGCTGGGATTACAGGCATGAGCCACCGCACTCTTTACTTTCAATGAGTGAATTGTATGGTATGAGAATTATCTCCAGTAAAGATTTTTTTAAAATAAATTACCAAAAAGTTTAAAATTTATCGAACCAAAGATTTTCTTTTTGAGACAAAGTCTCGCTCTGTCCCCAGGCTGGTGTACAGTGGCGCAATCTCAGCTCACTGGAACCTCCACCTTCTGGGTTCAAACAATTCTGCCTCAGCCCCCCAACTAGCTGGGATTACAGACGCATGCCACCACCACGCCTGACTAATTTTTGTATTTTAAGTAGAGACTGGGTTTCACCATGTTGGCTTAGCTGGTCTTGAACTCCTGGCCTCAAGTGATCCACCTGCCTTGGCCTCCTAAAGTGCTGGAATTACAGGTGTGAGCTCCCGTGCCTGGCCCAAGGACTGTTTGTTGACCATCTACACAGGCACTATGTAAAGTTCTATGCAAGTTATAAAACAAGTGTTAAGACACAAATGCTGACCTCAGATCATTTACAGTTCAAGAGAAAAGGCATACATGAAATGTCTTGTAATGCACATTTGCTTTCTGAATTTGCTCCCCATCTTTGAATCTCCTGAATTCTCTCCTCCAACTATTTTTGTAATGGCTCTGATCTTCTTACCATATGTCTTTTATCCTTTAAAAAGCAAACTGTTGCTCCTCAGACTTTGATAAGTATCAGCCCCAACCTGTTACCTTTGACTAACTTAAAGGACCTTTTAAAGTGGTAGTGGCATCTCTAGTAACGTAAATTGTGCTCCATTCATTCAGCAAATACTGAGGTTTCACTTACAAATAACTCTGACAAATCAGAAGACTGTTGGCATTATTATTTTTAAAATCATGACACGTACTCTTTTGCTACAATTTAGTCGGGTTGCATGGTGCTTAGAAAGTATAGTCTTGAGTTCCTGAATTTTCATGAAAAATACCTTTTAGGAATAGTTATAGGTTAAACAAATACATGTTTGGTATAGAGTTAGCTGAATTGCCTGTAGTCTAGTATGTTGACATTGTTGTAGTCATTAAAACTTTAAGAAAAGAAGGCTGGGCACAGTGGCTCACGCCTGTAATCCCAGCACTTCGGGAGGCCAAAGCGGGTGAATTACCTGAGGTTGGGAGTTCAAGACTAGCCTGTCCAACCATGGTGAAACCTCATCTCTACTAAAAATACAAAAATTACCCAGGCATGGTGACACACACCTGTAATCCCAGCTGCTTGGGAGGCTGAAGCAGGAGAATCACTTGAACCCAGGAGGCGGAGGTTGCAGTGAGCCAAGACTACATCATTGCACTCCAGCCTGGGCAACGGTGTGAGACTCTGTCTCAAAAAACAAACAAAAACAAAAAAACTTTAAGAAAAGAAAGATTAGCTGGGCATGGTGGCATGTGCCTGTAAGGTCAGCTACTTGGGAGGCTGAGGTGGGAGGATTACTTGAGCCCAGGAGTTTGAGGCTGCAATAAGCTATGATCATAACACTGTACTCTAGCTTAGGTGACAGAGTAGGACACTGTCTTGGAAAAAATAGAAAAGAGAAATTTTGTTTCAGTCATAGTAATTCTATTAAAGCCGAAAAGGGATATTTTGTAAAAGGTTGTAGTTGATTAATTCTACATCCATCCTTTTAGACAGTTTGTCTTATATACTTATAGGTACATACATGTACATGCATGCACACTCACATATACATGCTTGTGCCTGTGTTATTAGTGCAGCAGATAAATGTTTTCCTTTTCTTGCAGATGCATATGAAACAGCCAAGATGCTGTGTGAACAGTATTACCTGGTAGCTCCAGAGCTGGAAGTTGAAGAATTCAATGGTAAAGTAAAACTAATTTTAATCTTAAATTCAAAAAAGCTGACTAAGAAACTGTTTATACCTGAGCCATATTTCAGTGAGATTCAAAAATTATACTGATATTTCATTTTTCAATATCTTTTTAAAACTATGCCTTTGGTCAGCCAGATATATTATTGTAAGGAGATTTTGTACAGGAATGTGTAATGGGGTAGACCCCGGAATTCTTGGAACAGAAGTAATCAAGACAGAATATGTACAAAGGTATAAATAGGCCCTTGTCGAAGTAACAAATGCAAGCAGTCAATAAACATATGGAAAAGTGTTTAACTTCACTAATCAAGAAAGTGCAAACAAAAACACAGAAAAATGCCATTTTTTTTTTTTTGAAACAGAGTCTCGCTCTGTTGCCCAGGCTGGAGTGCTGTGGTGCTATCTTGGCACACTGGAACCTCTGCCACCCTATTTATAAGGTGTCTTTCACTTCACTTTGAAGACCTTTGCAAATATCAATTTCATTTAGAGCTTATCCATAGTATAGCTTACCAGAATTTATTTAACTATTTTCCTATGGGTATACATTTAGGATTTTCAGTTTTCCTATATTCCATATGATGAGCTATGAAGGGGTGTGAGAGGTGGGGAGAGTGGAAACATTTGTGAGTGTAGGAAAGTATTTCTGCAGATTAGATTCCTAGATGTGGAATGACTGAGCAGAGTGTGAGCATTTACAATTAAAGATAAACCAGGCCAGGCATGGTGGCTCACACCTGTAATCCCAGCACTTTGGGAGGCTGAGGCAGGAGAATCTCTTGAGCCCAGGAGTTTGAGACCAACCTGGGCAAAATAGCAAAACCCTGTCTCTACACAAAATAGAAAAATTAGCTGTGCATGGTGGCATGTGCCTATAATCCCAGCTACTCAGGAGGCTGAAGTGGGAGGATCGCTTGAGCCTGGGAGATAGAGGCTGCAGTGAGTTGGGATCCCATGACTGTACTCCAGTCTGGGTGACAGAGCAAGACTATGCCAAAAAAAAAAAAAAAAGATAAACCAAATTCCTCCTCAGAAGTATACTGAAAATATATTTCTCTTATAATGAGATGAAACTATGAAAGGGTTCAGGCTGCTGTTGAAGGACGTGGCTCCTCCATTTGACTAGAAGGCATGAAGTCAAAGCTGCTTTCAAGGTCTCTTGGGTTCTCTGAGAAGAATCATGCCCCCATTGAATAAATACACTACCAGAACCGAGTGGGCTTGTCTGGAGTGTTCCTGATGAGAACCATCTTAATATTCTCTCTCTCTCTTCCTACGGGCTAGGCAAAACCTGACCTCACATCGACAGGTGGTAACAAATTGCACTTTTGCCTGAGTGGCAGCCTCCCTCATTCTGAAGGCCAAAGCAGCAGGCCTGTTCTTGCTGATTCTCCTAAGTGCCAGCCATGTCAGCACATTCCTTCCCCGCTGAGGCTGTCGTGCTGGGCAGCTCACCCACCAGGAGAGGAGCTTTCTGACTCTTTTTGGCATTGTCGCACAAATTACAGAAGCCCCCTTTTTATCATGTTTTGAAGCCCCTTTTCCTATCGGTAAGATAAATGAATGCTGGTGTTTCTACGTAGCTTCTAGCTTTATGTTGCCTTGGGTAGTGTAGCGATTATTTTTATGTATAATTTCTTAATGCCAGAGCTCTCTGTGAGCATGATTAAGGAATGTGCTTTTGACTTAACAAGTTCTATGTTGGAGATGCAGGTTGGAGGTTGATCCTGAACACCTTAAGTGTGTGCTTTTTTATTCTGAAAGGAGAACTGTCTGGAAGTAAAATTCCTTATGTCTAATGGCATTTCTTAAATACTGTTTCAACTAATGGCATTTAGAGCAATGATTGTACAAAATAGACACTTTATTATTTCTGGAGTCTTGAGCACGACAAAACTAGGCCATTTTTTTAATTGACTTTTAAAAATGTACCCTTAGATGGACAATTTATATTACACTTAGGTCTTTTTTATTTATTTTATATATATATATATATATATGTATGTATTATTGCACTTTAGGTTCTGGGGAACATGTGCAGAACATGCAGGATTGTTGCATAGGTACATACATGGCAATGTGGTTTGCTACCACCATCCCCCCGTCACCTATATCTGGCATTTCTCCCCATGTTATCCCTCCCCAACCTCCCTACGCCCTGCTGTCCCTCCCCTAGCCACCCGCAACAGACCCCAGTGTGTGATGCTCCCCTCCCTGTGTCCATGAGTTCTCATTGTTCAACACCCACCTATGAGTGAGAACATGTGGTGTTTGATTTTCTGTTCTTGTGTCAGTTTGCTGAGAATGATGGTTTCCAGATTCATACATGCCCATACAAAGGACACAGACTCATCATTTTTTATGGCTGTAGAGTATTCCATGGTGTATATGTGCCACATTTTCCTTGTCCAGTCTATCATCGATGGGCATTTGGGTTGGTTCCAGGTCTTTGCTATTGTAAACAGTGCCACAGTGAACATATGTGTGCCTGTGTCTTTATAATAGAATGATTGATAATCCTTTGGATATATACTCAGTAATGGGATTGCTGGGTCGAATGGAATTTCTGTTTTTAGGTCCTGAATTGCCACACTGTCTTCCACAATGGTTGAACTAATTTACACTCCCACCAACAGTGTAAAAGTGTTCCTATTTCTCCACATCCTCTCCAGCATCTGTTCTCTCCAGATTTTTTAATGATCACCATTCTAACTGGTGTGAGATGGTGTCTCAATGTGGTTTTGATTTGCATTTCTCTAATAACCAGTGATGATGAGCATTTTTTCATATGTTTGTTGGCTTCATGTATGTCTTC